TTGGCAGGTAAATCCACGATTTTCCGGTGTCAGATTTCTTTGCCTCTTTCCCTTTGCAGGTAAATTCAAGGTTTCCCGGTGGCAGATTTCCTTGTTTCTTACCCTTAGCAGGTAAATCAACGATTTCCCGGTGTTAGATTTCATTGTTTCTTATCCTTTGCAGGTAATTCCACGGTTTGCTGGTGGCAGATTTTCTTGACTCTTACCCTTGGCAGGTAAATTAACGATTTCCCGGTGTTAAATTTCATTGTCTCTTTCCCTTAGCAAGTAAATCAATGGTATCCCGATGTGAGATTTCCTTGTCTCGTACCCTTGGCAGGTAAATCAACGGTTTCCCGGTGTCAGATTTCTTTGTTCCTTACCTTTGGCAGGTAAATCCAAGGTTTCCCGGTGGGTGGCAGATTTTTCCTTGTTTCTTACCCTTAGTAGGTAAATCAACGATTTCCCGGTGTTAAATTTCATTGTTTCTTATCCTTTGCAGGTAAATCCACGGTTTTCCGGTGGCAGATTTCCTTATTTCTTTCCCTGGACAGGTAAATCAACGGTTCTCGCGATGTGAAATGTGCTTGTCTCTTACCTTTGAAAGGTTAATTTACGGCTTCCCTCGGCGTGAGATTTCCTTGTCTCGTACCCTTGGCAGGTAAATCAACGGTTTCCTGGTTGGTGGCAGATTTCCTTGTTTCTTACCCTTAGCAGGTAAATCAACGATTTCCCGGTTTACATTTCATTGTTTCTTACCCTTTGCAGGTAAATCCACGGTTTTCCGGTGGCAGATTTCCTTGTCTCTTTCCCTTGGCGAGTAAATCCACGGTTTCCCGGTGTCAGATTTCCTTGTCTCTTTCCCTGGACAGGTAAATCCACGGTTTTCGCGATGTGAAATGTGCTTGTCTCTTACCTTTGGCAGGTTAATCTACGGCTTCCCTCGGCGTGAGATTTCCTTGTCTCGTACCCTTGGCAGGTAAATCAAAGGTTTCCCGGTGTCAGATTTCTTTGTTCCTTACCCTTGGCAGGTAAATCCACGGTTTTCCGGTGGCAGATTTCCTTGTCTCGTACCCTTGGCAGGTAAATCAACGGTTTTCGCGATGTGAAATGTGTTTGTCTCTTACCTTTGAAAGGTTAATTTACGGCTTCCCACGGCGTGAGATTTCCTTGTCTCGTACCCTTTGCAGGTAAATCAACGGTTTCCTGGTGGGTGGCAGATTTCCTTGTTTCTTACCCTTAGCAGGTAAATCAACGATTTCCCGGTGTTACATTTCATTGTTTCTTACCCTTTGCAGGTAAATCCACGGTTTTCCGGTGGCAGATTTCCTTGTCTCTTTCCCTTGGCAAGAAAATCCACGGTTTCCCGGTGTCAAATTTCCTTGTTGCTAACCTTTGGCAGGTAATTCCACGGTTTCCCGGTGTCAGATTTCTTACCCTGGACAGGTAAATCAACGGTTTTCGCGAAGCTTGTCTCTTACCTTTGAAAGAATAATCTACGGCTTCCCTCGGCTTGAGATTCTCAAACCCAGGACAGGTTAATCCACGGTTATCCCCGGTTGGAGATTTTCTTGACCCTTACGATGAACAAGTAAATCCGCGATTTTTCCCCGGTTTGAGATTTCCCTAACTCTTACCCTGGACAGGTTAATCCAAGGTTTTTACCATTGTGAGATGTCCTTGACTCTTACCCTGGACAGGTAAATCCCCGGTTTCCCTGATTTGAGATTTATCTGCCTCTCATCCTGGACAGTTAAATACACGGTTTTTACCGGTTTGAAATTTCCTTGTCTCTTACCCTGTACAGGTAAACCCACGGCTTCCTCATCTGTGAGATTTCCTTGTCTCTTACCCTGGACAAATAATCCACGGTTTTTCCCCGATGCGATATTTATCTGTCTCTTACCCTGTATAGGTAAATCCACTGCTTTCCCAGGTGTGAGATTTCCGTGTCTCTTTCCCCGGACAAATGAATATACGATTTTCCCCCGGTTTGAAATTTCTCTGTCTCCCACCATGGACATATTAATCCATGATCTTTACAAGTGTGAGATGTCCTTGTCTGTTACCCTGGACAGGGAAATCCACGGCTTTTCACCGGTGTGAGAGTTATCTGTCTCTTACCCTGGATCAGTAAATCCCTGATTTCCCCGATTTGAGATTTATCTGCCTCTCATCCTGGACAGGGTTGAGACAAGCTACACCTGTTATTTGCATGTTCTTAAAACAATTTCAGTGACATCACTGACGTCATTCGGAAATTGACCTACTTTTATGAACTCATACACATACACCTCTTCGTCTGCCAATGAAATCTTGTGTTATCCTCAAATATGAAAATCCTTTGTAATCAAAGATGGAAACTCATCATAACCAACAACTTATAATAATTAATATATATATATAAATATAAATTTTATCAAGACTACGATTTTATTCGACGTTTTATTGACATGTTCACTAGAATTATACTTTGTGTAAGATTAAATTACAATGCTTGAAGCATCTGTGGCGCGGGCCTCCTCGCTGTTCATACGACACAAACACATAATACATACACCCTCTTTAGGGTGACATAGGGGATTTAAGCCTTGTGTTAGACAGCTCAATACTCTTCCCTCACATGTTGAGATGCCCGTTTCACCCTGAAGGAGTTGTAAACTTTCAAAGTTAGTGATTTCACTTTACCTTCACTACGAGATGATTTATGTGTTTGTTCTACATTTATGGAAGCACGACCTCGGAGTCATAAACAACCAGACAAAACACTATGCCCTGCCATCAGGATTCCCCTAAAACCATCCTCTACCCTACCACAAAATATCATAGAGGCTATCCTGCCTCCTTTGTTCCGATTTGTATGCCCTGGTTGTCGATGAATTATCTGGTCCTGAGCTACGGACCCGCCCTTTCCTCTCCATTGGCCTGTATTGCGTATAATCCGATAAAGATATTGTGTTTATCACTGAGTTGCTATTTTCTCGTGTGGGATACGTCACAAAATAAATATCAGTGTAAGTCTACTGCAGTTTATAGGGCTCAATGTCTAAAATGAAACATGTTTATTTATTTATCTATTTTCAGTATCAGCTGCATGGTGATTAACTATGACATCATTGCTAAATAAAAAACTATTTTGTACGTAACTGTGATATTTCTTATATCAAATACGTTATTGATATATCCTCATGTGGTTTCTGCTTGAAGAAAATTGTGCAGATGATATATTTATTCTTTTTAAAATTTTCAGATCAAAATATGTTCAGCCAAGTAAGTTGAAACTGATTATGTGTCTGCCTACATAAGACTTTATGTATCTCCCTACAGAAGATTGTATGTATCTGCCTACAGAAGACTTTAGATATCTTCCTACAGACTTTATGTATCTTCCTACAGAAGATTGTATGTATCTGCCTACAGAAGACTTTAGATATCTTCCTACATAAGACTTTATGTATCTTCCTACAGACAGAAGACTTTAGATTTTATATATCTTCCTACAGTATGTATCTGCCTACAGAAGACTTTAGATATCTTCCTACATAAGACTTTATGTATCTTCCTACAGAAGATTGTATGTATCTGCCTACAGAAGACTTTAGATATCTTCCTACATAAGACTTTATGTATCTTCCTACAGAAGACATATAATCATGATTATGTCTAAGCTGGTCATTCGGTATGCGCCTAATTCGTTTTGTGTTATTTGGCAACTGGTATCTTAACAAATAAGAAGATTAATTTGGAGGGAGAACTAACGATGAATATAGATCCAACTCCGACAAGTCGTCATCACAAAATTCAGGTTGTGAAAGTTTTCTAGAAACTGAAAACTGAGAGTAAGGAAATTTATTCATCAGGCTTATTTTCCTGCTTAGTTAGAAAATGTCCCTGTTGATTCCGTCGTAGGAAAAGATCGAGATAAGCGGCTGATTTTCTGTTTTCGATTTCAAATGCTTATGGTTATGTACGACAGAGGTTTTCAACCAACTTGTTATTTAAGGACAAATTCCGTCAATACATCAGAATGAAATTGGGCGGAATTTGCATTGTCTATGTGATCTGTTATGCTAAATTCAGCATTTGAAAACATTAACAAGTCAGCCATGCTTCGGTCACAGGTATATTCTATAACTTTGCAATTAATCCTTGGGAAGATCTTACCATCAAACTCAACAAGGAAGTTGTTAATCAGCGATTCGATTATTTCTACGATTTACTTTTCTTTTGACGTATTTTGTTTACGTAAAAACACTTCGGCATATTGCAAAACTATTCCTGATTTCTGTATTTTATGAAAAAAAAAATTAATTGATCATGCAAAAAGATCTTAAATTGATTCCATTTGATAGACGATTAAACGTTTAACGTGTCGTGTCAATAATCTCATATAGAAGAATAAGTTCAATTATAATGAAATGTATCTGACTTTTGCAAGAGTCGTTTCGTTGGTAACATGAAATAATAAACGAAATAGTATAAGATTTTTGATTGCGACTAGTTTACTGAAACAATTAAAATAATCTATACGACATGATCACAAAACACAAAGTATTTACTGAAAAGATTTATTGAAATAACGATTACAGTTCTTTCTCTGATATAATCACAGAATATGTATAATGTTGTGAGTCATAATGATATTGGAATGGTATTAACTAATGTAACATGAGCCTTCATTGAGTAACACAATGTTTTAAAGGCGATATATTTTGGACATTTTATCTGTTATAATCATAAGGCATTTCAGTGACCTAATTTTCTACGCGACACACAAAAGTGAACTTTTATCCCAGGTACGATGTTCCCATGATTAGGAATATAAGAGATTGGATAAGAACAAGCTTTATTTCTTTAACGTAGGTCAAAGTTGAGAATGTAGGCCAGGTCATTTTAATTGACAAGCAACATTCCGTGTCTACTAAAGTTCGAGTAATGGTGTTCGATTAGGACAAATAATTAGTACACAATTGTGTCAGAGATGGGTTAAAATTTATATCTCAAAAATGCAACAAATGTTTTTAAATATTTTTCTGTCCATAATCGTTCACTTTCGTCAGAATTATGTAGGGAATGTTCCCACCTTTATTACCTTCATTTTCTCTCTTGAAAGTGACTGATCCACTACGAAAGACAACCTCATCTGTTGACCTACGGAATGAGTACTTTTTTTCCGCTGATGGTTTCTCGATCACACTGTATTGAGTTCCTGCTGTCAGAAATATAGGTTTACCCAAAATGACTTCCCCAAGTTCTTCGGTCTCTTTTACCAGTGACAAATGTCTTTCAACATGTATACGACGTTCACCTTTATATATCTCTACATCAGAAGTGCTTGGTTCTTCACATGTAAAGAAAGATCCGAATCCGTGTAACACTGCTCTGCCAGAGATTTGAAATGAAACTTTTTCTGTGGTATAACCTTGTGTATAATGTTTCCTCAAAATCTCAGAGTATCGCCTGGCTTTTGTTTTTGTCTGTCGTCTCCGTCGGCAGTCAGTCAGGCCTGATTTTACCTGATGCATTTGATAGTTAACAACTTTAACTGCAAGATCCGATGTCAGAATGTTATCAAGAAACACTCGCTGCAGAAGGAAATTCAAATCCATCGTGTTGAACCTTGCGAGAAACAGCATGTTCCCAAGTACCTCACGTCTATTTTCACTCGTCACCTGTACCAAATGTTCAACAAAACGTGGTCCGGTGTTATAACTGAATTCAGATAGACCAGGAACAACAGAGAAAAATACAGGTGTGTCAACATCATCATAAGTCGAATACAAATTCGATGAATCTAAGGCAAAATATCATCAATACAAATAATATTTACAAGGAGATTCTTGACAACAACTACAAAAGCAATAAGACAGTGTTACGGAAGTATTACCATTTCCTTCTTGGTCAATCCGAGAATTAAGAAGTACATTCATGAAAGGAAGCAGATTAACTTTAATGTAGGAGTGTGCACTCATATCTATCTTTATTTTTGTCTCCATAGTGAACATTTTTAGAGACATTACATTTTGAAATATGATCTTCAGATTCAGCAGGACATTAAAATATCTTGTAACATATTGCATCTATCTAGCAAAAAGCACTGGATTCAGTTTCGAAGTCGATTTGATATTGTGTATGAATAATTGAAACTAAAACTAGATATTAAGAGTGACATCTATTGTTAGCCATCACTGTAATGACGCCTCCCTGCCCGGTAAGCAACGTGAGAACCAAACGCGTCTATGATCGCCCAACAAGTCCGGAATTCTTTTTTCCCGAAAACAAAAGTGGATAGACAGGAGGACAGGCACAAGGATAATACAAATCAATAGCTTAATGGCGACAAAACAATGAAAGACAAAAAGCAACAAAGTTAAACAGGTTTACAGTTGTAGACTGACAATTACATCACGAATGGACGCACAAACGAAGCCATTTTAACACTTGTACCAAACATATCCAAATGGTTTATCAGTGGCATATATACATCGCCATTGAAATGTTTGTAGTATGTCTATATTGCAATACTTTTACTTATTTCTAGGCTGATTTTGCTCTTAAATCTTTCATAATCCAGATTGCTTTGTATGTATAATTTAACGCCATAACTACTAAATTAATCGGTTTATTCGGAATCAAACGATTTTCTTAATTGCGGTACTCTTTAATTATAGATTTTTCACTAAAACTTGTGTAATGTTTCAGAACTCTCCATTTCACACCCAAATTTATAAAACTTATATCTGATCTATCTTTGAGACTTTCATAACGTAACTTTGTGTAAACTTAACAAACTCGAAACGAAAGTTGCTTCCCTCTCGGGTACTATGTACTTTTAAAAACAAGTAACAACCCCTTTGTCAATCAGCTACTAACTTTTATTAACGCAGTATGAACATACAACATTCATATAATAAAAACCAATAACGCTTATATGATATAAACATTCTGTTTTGAACAACATTCATAAGTATTATAAACATTGTAAATATCTACATGGCGCTTATTACAACTGTTATAAATATTACAAATTAGAGCACAATGCTTATAAATAACATAACTAGCAGAAACGTTGAGAACTATTGCTTAACACTTCAATACAATTGATATTGATATTTTACAACATAAAGTAGTCTGATATAAGACTTACAAAATACTTATTCACCAAAGATTCAGAGAGTTCTTACCTTTAAAAACAAGTAACAGTCTCTTTGTCAGTCAGCTACTAACTGGAATTTTGGCTGACCGACAGAACATTAATAGCCAAACTGAGGGCATTCCTTCATTTTACTAATAAAGAGAAAGATTTGGGGTTGACCAATGCCCAGTCCTCAGGTACATCACTATCTACTGCTTTAAAATTTTGGTGAGGTGGTTTTTGCGTACGACATTGCTTCAACACGTGGCTAGGTTCTAGCAGTCTAGGTCATAAAAATAGGATTGATTGACCAGTGGTCAGTTCCACGATGTTCCGACCTCTTGCATCCCAAATATGGTCAGGTGGTTTCTGCTGACGTAATGGGATTTCAACGTGTGAGGTTGGAGGCAAAGGTTAATCTGCTTGATAATTTGGAAAATAGCTTAATGTTTATCCTGTGTGTATCAGCTTGACCTACAGAAGGTCATTCACTGAGAGATGTGCTATTTGGCTGAAATCTAAGGTAGAACTCTGCTTAAAGTATAGTGATTTGCATGAACCAACCGAGGACTTGAATTAATTAAAGTAAGAACAGAATATATCAAAATATCTATTCTTATATTTTTACGATTTTTCTTCGTAATACTTTAATCCATTCCAAAATCGTTAAAATTGATCATGTTGCCGGGGAAAATGTTATCTACACCAGGCTTCAGGATGCAATTTTTCATGTAATAGCCGGTATCCGGTTATTTTCTAAAAGGATATTACGGCAGTTACGATTGGTACAGTATATTTACGTATTGTTATATGGTACAGAATACTGCTATTGATATGCATAAACAGTATTCAGATCTAATTAAATTGTAACGATGTTTGTCTAACGTATCAGCGATCATAAACTTGATATCCTAACAATTTTGTTTTTCTCTTTGAAAATGAATATCGTGAAAATAACACCAATAAAAAACACGATTATACGATACCATCTTCCTATGAGTATTGCTTGTCTTCCTATATTTCTATAACAAATATATATATTAATCTGAGGAAGCTATATTACAATCAGATTATTTTCACAATGTCTTCACCGTGTATCCGTAATAACAAAAAATAACCACCAACTAAGATATTTTCTACTTCTGACAAAAATCTTATTTAACCTCTTGCACTTACCTCAATATTTTTCCGGAAGCATTCTGCTTCTGCCCACTTGGTGATGGCTAGATACACGTCACTTTCCTCTGCGTCGAGGTCGTCTGCATTTACAATACTGCTCATGCAGGAAGGACAAAGGGTAGTGAAGGATTTGGCTCGCAAACTTGCAGGTGCTGATCCTTTAATCAGCTGGAGACAATCTGTTGTAAGCTTATCTATATGGAAGACGTGTGCCTCCTCCAGAAATGTACATACATTGTCTACAGACAGATTGTGTACTAGAAAATCCTCACAAACAGAGATCAGGATATCAACGCAATACTTCATGGCGACGCTTAACACAGGGACCACATTTTCTACAGTGAGATTGATTCTGTCGGTGTACAGATACCTGCATAAAGAGGAAAACAATCAAGGTGGTATTAGATAAGAGTTTGCACCTTCACCTGCATCAGGTAGCATCTATTAAGCATCCTCAATGAACATGAGAAGCTGAATTAGAACAATATCAGGCATAACAGTCAGAGGTCAGATAAGTCGATATAATATTTCATTACCGGAAATGACGTCCTAATAATATTCATCGTATTATATGTTTGTTCATCAACAGTTTTTTTTTATCCACGTTTTATGGCAACAGAGGTGGTACCATCGACCGGAAATAAAATGTAACAGTCTAGTTGATGACAGGATGGCGAGGATAAAGTCAGTTTCGTTTCCCTATTGCGAGTATGTCGTTTGTGGATAGCATCAACTCGTTTTTCGAAACCTTCGGTGTTTTTAAGTCGCAATTGAATCATTACAAAGGACATATTTCCTATGCCGTATTGTGCCAAACAACTAGTTGATAACACCATCTGATTTCAATATATATTTACACGTCATGGAAATAGAGAAGCATTCCCTTCAAGATAAAACGTAACTGGTATCATACATTACCCTAAGAAGGTTTTGAAAATAGTATCTTGAATATCCGGTATAACAACATCTCCCTTTTCCGGCAGAGCTCCCTCAAACATAGCGTAGAATACAGGACTTCTACTTATTAAGATAAGTTTATGGGCGGAAATCTTTTTCTCGTCCTCTCCAACAATGAATGTGACGTCACTGGCTGTTCCGGAAGAACAAATGTGTTGTAAACAGTCAATAAGTGGCTTGCCACATTGCCAGTCTACAGGGGTTGATTCAGGCATAATGTTTTTCTGTAGATATTCAACAAAGATCCTTTGTAGATTATGATCGTAGTAATACACTCTTTGTATCAAGCTAGTTTTGTTCATATTTTCCTTTAGTTTTATTGAATTTGAGTTCGTATTATTTTTTATGCTGACATGTTGGTATTTTCTTGCTGTTTTTCGGCGATGATGATAATAACAGGAATTATATTTTAAATAACGCAAAACATCGTATTTTCTCCCATACCGCACATGCACATTCCAATATTAGATAAGGAAAATATAAATATGTTTTATTCTAGGTAACTCACTAACCCGTGGTATGACGCTACCTACAATTTGATAGCGTCATCAGTTTACGTAGTGAAGACACGTCACAAATTGATAACGTTATCAATACCAACACAATTCATACACAATTAATGTCGCGATCACCAGGTTTCACAATTTACATTGCGATTGTTTTTCAAGTTTCTGAAAAAAAATCAAAGTTTTATTCCGTGGATAGGGATATCTGAACCCTCGACTGCACTTGACAGACCGATGTAGAATTTTACCAATATACTGAAGTACCTACCGTCGAATAAAACTGATCGCAATGACGTCATGGTGGTTTGAAATGGCTTTTCTTTGAATCAACATGCATATGTCAAAGTTGGGGTTGGGGCATAATATCATGTCGTTTTGACTTCAAATGAACGATTTTTCAGTGAAAATACATCGCAGTGCATATGTACCTCCTAGGATAATGTTACATGTTTTTGTTTGTCTTACCAACTAAAAATCGATACCTAGCACATCAATCCTAAAATAATGAAAAGACGGTAAGGTCGTAACACGTTGGTATGATGTGGTATAAAGGTACACTTCTCTCATGATTTTGTCAACCGTGAAGGTCATTATTATGAATAATATTATGTACATGCACACACAACGCTGCAGTTCTATACAAGAAATAAGATTTTTCACTTAGACGACAAGTGAGATTGTTTTCAAAAGACCCTATTACGTTGCAATATATACATTAATTCACCATCAGTCGGTGTGTGTTAGAATGTATGTGGTGTTCCTATTATACCTACGCAATTTTAGTATATGCTAATGTCACGTCGCGGTGTCTTATTTATGAAAACAAAAATAACTCTATTTTGGAAATTACGTTATTGAAACTTTCAAAGAGAATATTAAATAATGGTACACTTGCAATAATACACTTACGTGTATCTAATTGAGATAAAATTCGAAAGACTCTTTCATTCCGGTGATGTGTATGAGGTATGGTGCCATTAGCAACATTCGTGTTATATGCATGTGTATCAGCGTCACCATCATCTTAAATCGTTGTCAAAAACATCTGAAATGCACATTCTACCATTTTGCATGTATGATAGAGTTGAAGGTTTGTAATATCAAGTGAAAGAAAGGGGATTATAAGAACTCATTGATAAACTTATATTTACTTACAAACAAATATAATGATCAAAGGACAGTGTAGATGATTTTTAAAAGTGCGGTTTCATTTAGAGAGGAAATCCGGTGTAAACATTAGTGAAATAAGTTCAACTCTGTCGTAACATCCTTTGGAAAAATGAACTTAAACTAAGTAAGCACATCCATTCGGTTCGATTCGTCACTCTTAATGTAACTGATTTAAATAGGATTCGTACGAAAATCGTTTTATTCTTTTTTATACTTTTTTAAATATCATCTTTGTCATACTTGTCAAGTTCTTAAAAAAATGTAAACTAATCTTTATTGTCTGAGATATATAAATTGCTAATTTAAGGTAATTGAGAAAGCGAAAATAGTATATTCCAGGAAAACATATGTGTATCGTGTCGTTATTTTCTGAAAAGATTCGAGTGCGTGTATGTGAGTGACGTGACATGAATACGTATATGTGTCAGACTTTTTTTACTGGCCTGAAGATTATGCAACAACCTATCGGTGTCCATTACAACACAATTTTTAAACAGATAAAACGACCTAATACGTTAATATAATTTAAGATTAGACAAAATATCAATACTTTGAGGGTCCTTGAGTAGATATAATTCACCAAGTAAATGTCTGTGGGACAAAACGACTCAATTAGGCTATACAGTAATATACGTTATGAATAATTGTAACCTGCTCTATGTCATAACAGGACTTGGGTAGTTCTTGTGAAATCTTATGTGAATGGCCCTTTTAATGATATCAGATCAATTGAATATTTTAACATTGTAATTATACGATCTAATTGAAACAGCTTACCTTCTGTGACGGAAGGAGATCCATTCCCGACGCCATGTTGAATGTATGAATACACTCGGAAATCCCATTTTACGGCACAAATAATGATCATGTGTGAGGTTCACTGAGGGGTATATTTCAGTGAATTAAGAAATATGTCTTTTACGCACTTTGTAGAACGATCATCACATATCTTTTGCATTATTCCCACTTTTGTTACTTGCATAATTATATGAGATTTTCATTTCCGTTTTTCTATCTTAGTCTTCACAATACCTCTGTTCATTTATCTGAGATTCTATAGATGGTGTAATATAACTACCTCAAACACTTATATTGATTTATGTCCTTGTTGAATTGCTTCCACTTCAATAATATTCCTCATGCAAAAGTCCTTAAAAGATAAACATACATTCAATGCATCAATGCGGGAATTTTGTTTGCTTTTTACTGGTGTCTTTTGTTTATGTAGGGGGTAGGGGTGGAGGGATGATTGCACAAATTCTTTATCGATGACTCACTCAGCTATTTGTAAAATACTCTCTTACTGGTAGGCATTTGTATATACTGTATCACATTTTCTTGTAAAGACAATCAATATATATAATGTATTTCTAAAGCATGACTTTATTGATATATACGTTACCAAAAAAACATTAAATAGTAAAATAAGATTAAAAAAAATAATATAAACGTTTTTAAAAGATGGATTCAATTGAGAAAGAACAGGAAGTACGGTTTTTGTATACTCAAAGATACAAGCCATATTAAAGTTGTGCCGATTGAGGTAAATGTGTTGACACATAATACAACTTTCACTTTCATATTAAGCTCAGTAATTCTCTATGATTATTCAATTCTAAGACTTCATGCACCTGACCTTACAACAACTCTCCTTTGTAATTTTTTTATTTACACTTTTCTTGAGAAAGAACAAGTAGAATAAGACCAAGTAATTCTGAACTGTTTTGTTTTGTTTTGTTTGTTTGTTTTTTTGTAAAAGACATCAGTCTTGAAGAGGTTTGCCAATTGTCAGTGCGTATACACATACTCCCTTTGATCACCATACCATCCGATGTAAACTTTGGTAAAGTGACGACGCTAGACTCGGACAGGAATGCTTTTAAAGGATCTGTTTGACTTAAGATGTAAAAATACAAGGAACTTTGATCTTACAATGTATATTACTATTAACAATATCCGTTACAAATTTAACGACCTCACCAATATCCTTAGGAAGTCAGTAGCGAGCATACTTTCGTTGGAGAGACAAAATAAAATCGGTTTTTTTAATCAGTTTGTTTCATGTGGACAGTATAGAACATGATAGATCCGGACACAGTGGTGGCCTTATGTGTTTTGTTCACTAAAATTTGCCATATAGACAGTGATCAGATCTTGAATTTAATCTAGTGGAGTTCATTGTGTTTCAGGTGATCATAAACGACAGAAAGTAGTCAATAGTAGGACTGCATAATTCTTCATTCGATCCTAGAAACTCCGACTATGAAAATCTGACTATCGGTTTAGATAGGATCAGTACTTAGTACGACCATTTCATGATGATAGAAGATACGAACATAAATATCCTTACATAAATATGTTAAACGGTGAATGCAATCTTTTTGTATGGATAATCTTAAGATTCTGCATATTATATGAAGAACTGCAACCTTCTCTAGTTGATGTAATTCTAACAAGCAGCCAGCATATTTTATTCAACAAAATGTCTTTTAACTGTGAACTCAGTGATTAGCATAACATGATAACATCTAATTTTACAGGATATTTAACACGTGTAGTTAAAGGTAAGAGAATTTAGAAATTACGTTTTTAAAACTTTGAAGATAAAGCTCCCAATGCTTACATATAGAAAATTTCTTTCCACGCTGCTTATGTTTTTGATGACATTGACGATATTTACTTTAAATGATCATGTCGCTGCTAAAGAAAACAATTCAGCCTTCGTAAGGCAATATATAAAAAACGAATGTTTTTTTAACAAATAAAAAATAGAGCCCCTCATAATTGGTAAAGAACTGTAATCAAAAGAATGCAGTTAACAAAATTAGAATCAATGAATGAGATATGATTCTTTCAAAAGGTGTGCTGGTGGGCCAAAATCATGTGATTTCTGGTGTACTATCAAAACTTTCCTTTTAAAAAGGAAATACTTTAGACTCAAACATAATACTGAAGGAAAACGATACCATTGTTTTGGACTAATTAGGGATGTGAAATATTTTTTATGTCAATGTGGCTTGAGATACCTAAAATCTAAAGTGAAAAGCCAGTCGTGTCTACAAGACAATTTTGTTTTTAGCATGTTTTCCTAATTATGTATGTGAACATATTAATTTAATAAGTTCAAAGAAGACATGCTGATTCACACCTTGAATGGTCCCATTCATACTTGTTCTACCTGTGCAAAGATGAATTGACTGATCTATTTTATAAGTTTTATTTGCAGAAGATGAGCACAGTGTTGGTAACAAACATGTACAATTATATTAGACTGAGAAATAGGGAGTAGTCAGTCATTTAGGGGGTGTTATCGGCGCAACTAAGCAACCCTAGTACTTCGCAATAATTAGGTTCGCTCCCCCATGATCAGCACACGGCAAGCTTCTGCAATCCCTCCGACATCAATCCGGTCGCGGGATATTTGTTTATGCTGTACCTGTTCAAGTGGTATGAGCAGCTGTGTCTAATAATAGATCAGCTACCTGTGATTCACACGGTTTTATTCCGATCACAATTCCTGCATACTGATCAAAACGGAACAGCGAACATACACACGCCCCCTCGGGTAACTGTACACACTACTATAACGTATCAGATACACACTAGACATTACTCAAGCTAGTAATACATATTCAATCAGATTGACAATATTAGGTTAAGTAAGACGGATAATACCATAGTTACAGTTAGATATCAGACATCGCATTTATGCAATCGAATAATTTCTTGTAGTCAAATTTACTACAATGTCTTGACTTAGATCCGATTAGTGGCACTAAAGATAAATACCCTCAACACCATGCCTTAAAAATCAGACTACGACGGTCCGTGAAGTTGCAAGAGTCTTTCGACTCACTCTGTATGACGAGGGTCAACATTATCAACTACATCTACATACTTTTCTCTAAATTGCAAATACTTCATGCTGTGATTACATCGCGTCACAATTCGACGTGGGGTTGGCAGACTAATATCATTTTAAGATTATCATGTAATATACACCACGAATAAATACAACATTTGCAATTTCAACAATAAGATAATATTGAAGTTTTAAGAGTAGCGACAAGATGACAATTCCAAATCATGTTTCGTGATTGCTTCCAACATCGTCAATTAGCTTCGTCATAATCAAAAATGGAACACTTGGAGAAGTCTCTCTCCGTTTCTTATTCTTAAAAGTGATCTTTCCTCCAACAAAAGAAACTCCCTTTATCAAATGTCCAAAAGCGAAAGGCTTTTCTGCAGATGCCCTTTCGATTACAGTATATGTGGATCGCGGTGTGAGAAAAATGAGTTTAGCGAAAATTATTTCCCCAAGTTTTCCCTCCTTCCTTAGAAATGGTAATTGTTTTTCAGTTTTAATGAGATTATCTCCTTGCAAAAAAACCAACATCGGAGGTACTATGTCTTTCACATGTAATCAGAGACCCTATACCATGAAGTACTGCTCTACAGCAGATTTGAAATGTCACAGCTTCAGGTTTTCGTAATTGGCAGCTAAGAGGAGATCCAGCTGGAATTTGTTTGTATTTCTGATAGTTAACAACATATACAGCCATTTCCGGGTGAACTATTTCATGAAACACGCGTTCTAGGAGAAAATTTAAATCCATTTGGATGTATCTACCCAGAAGTATCATATCTCCAAGAACTTTTCTTTTGTTTTCACTCGTTACCTACAATTAAGAACAATTCATCAAAATGACGGTTTTAGTGTGCACGTCATCACAAGTTATGTGAATTGCACATTTATATAAACATTATTTTAAGTAATTACGCCATCATTCAGGGTTATTGACACTTTATTCTCGTGATTTCTTGTCGACTGAACACACTATCAGTAGAGATGTCATGATTTCAAAACTGTCAGCACCTTCCATTACTAACGAGAATTTGAAAGATAAAAGTGCTATCTGATCAAGTTGAATTAATTATTTAGCTAAATTAATCTGTTTCTGAGTCATCTGATTGTGTTTCTATTTTGTATATAAATGTCGTATTTTTTCGCAAAATTATAAAAATGTGTATAAAACTATTATCAGATGCTTACCTCAAGGTCTTTCTGGAAACATTCTGCTTCTGCCCACTTGGTGATGGCGAGATACACGTCACTCTCCTCCGCGTCGAGGTCGTCTGCATTTAAAATACTACTCATACAAGCAGGACAGAGTTCGTTTAAATATGTAGTATGCAAACTGGCAAATGCTGATCGGACAATCAGTTGAAAACAGTCCGTTTTCAACTGGTCAATTTGAAATTCATGAGCATTTTCCAAAAACAGGCAGACGTTATCAACAGAGAGATTCTGGTGGATGAAATCTTCACAAATAGTACCCAGGACGTCCACAAAATACTTCATGGCGGCATTTAACACATGAACAACATTCTCTATAGTAAAATTAATCCTGTCTGTATACAGATACCTGCGTAAATAAGACAATTAAATAACGAAATGTATGAAACCATTTAGTTGGCGTAACTCCCCATCTTAATTTTCGCTTTTCTACTTTTCTCTATTTTCTTCATGACTAAAATGTCTGCTCTAGCATCACTGACAAGCCCTAGAAGTACGAAACAGATGAATGATGTTGATTCGCTCAGCTGTAGCTAATTCTTGTACTTGTATTAAAAGTGTTGTTCACTTGTGCCTTTTGTACAATTTTCCATAAATTAAAAGGTATGCAGATTGATGTATCTATGATGACAGAACGCAACATCATACATATCTTAAAAACGGAAGTCGATGATGTTAAGTTATACGTATGATGTTGTGACATGAAGAAAAACCTTGTTTGAATATGTTTCAATCA